GTGTAATTTACTTTACAGAAATATTAAATATCTTCCATAAATTTTGTAATCCAGTCACTGTAGATTAAATAGTATATACATTATAAAGTTAATGTTGTTTTTTAGATGGTTTGTTAAACTGCTAAAAAAAATTTTACGAATATTCGTCAAGATTAGAACGAATAGTTTGACAGAAATTGACCAAGTCATTTAATGTGATACTTAAAGATAATATAGAATATTGATAACTCAGAATGAGAATGTTTTTCTTCACAATTATGGTGAAATTCTATTAATTTTAATAGTTGAGATTATGAGCCAATTGAAGCTAGATCACCATGGAAAACCTGGAAGCACTAGACGGCCGTTTCTTCTTATTGTGTGCATCCACGATCCTCATCTATTAGTTCACTTCTTTTTCTAATACCTGTTTATGATATCGTTCAAAACAACAATGATAGACTTATAACTAAACAGTTCAGCTTAGTGATCATAACTTTATTATAATTAATGATTTCAGTTAATAAACAATACATGATTACACATGGACACTGTGTTAGAATATTTCATTTAAAAATAGCAAATCAATTCAATTAAGTACTTTGTTAAAAGTCATTGGATTTAAAGTTATCTTTAATCATAACTTAATATAGGGTTGAAAATCTGTTGAAATGCACATAGCAATAAACAGGTTGTTTGTTTCAGTTGTGAAATATCCTTTACTGCTCATACTTATAATTCCACAAATATGATTGAGTGTGTGTAGCACGCACAATACCGATAATTCGTATTTGTTCACCTTTTCCAACGGTATCATTCTTTTCTACTTACATAAGAACTATCTCTTAAATGCTGTTGGTAAGCATTTATTTTTATTCTTATAGCGTTGTTGACTTAATATCAGAATTTTTTACAGTTACATCTCAAAAGTAAAATTACCATAAATAACGATTGCTCGACCTTATGATTACTTTATCTTTTTTGCCTTATTGAATATCATCAGAAGGGGTTTTGCGGAGATTGTAGTAATTTCTATAGTTGAGATTATAAGTCAATTGAAGCTAGATAGGTCGTGTGTTCGAATCCCCTGAGGTGGGGTCGTGGATGCACACTGCTGAGGAGTCCCACAATAGGACGAAGCCACCATCCAGTGCTTCCAGGTTTTCCAAGGTGGTAAGCTTCAATGGACTCATAATCTCAATTATAAAAACTTATTGAATATATATTTCGTTCAATTTCGTACCTTTAATCTGGAAGTTATTCTAGTCAAAATTAATAATGGAGTTTATTCATATCCACAATGAGTAAAATAATCAATGGATCATGTTTATTACGTAATCAAAAGTCATTTCAGTTAAGTTTTATGTACTGATATAGAGTTAGCTTTTTATTTACAGTGTAAAGAAGGTTAAATAATTCAAATGATATTAGATTGTTGATGGTAGTCAACAAAAAACCCTAGACCTAGGTTTCGGGCTACTTGTCACTCATCAGTAAGGCATACATACAATCTCGACAGAATTGATGCCTTTTATGGGACTTAAATCTGTGTTTTGTCACTGTCTAGTGATTGGTCCGTTATAAGTTCCGGTGGTCTACTTTGTACATTCTATTTAAACCAGCCAAATAAATAACCTGTAGTTCTCTCCTTTATCAAACTTATTCTTCTTTGGTTACTTCTATTATTTTCCTATTCTCTTTTTAAATGAAACAATTTTGTTGGAACTTTGCTCAGCATAAGGTTAATTCTCATCACTGATTGATATAAGATGAAGAACACCTGAAAATCAGAGAACAGTGGATGTCGTCGTAATGCTACCCTAAGACTAATACGCAGTGCTCACTCGACACCACTTTAATTATCATATCTAAGAGTACAATACTGCTGAACAAATAAATCAGCGTACAATGGTTCATATTTCCAATTTGAATGGCGTGAGTACTTCTGAGTAAGACAGTTGTAAGTCACATAGAACCTGAGATGTGTGTCAACACAACCTTGTCCTTCCATTCATCAGGCACACATGACTAACGTGTAACTACAAGTAAGTATTTAATTTCTACACAATCCAAATACCTGTAAAGCTAAAAATTGAGCCAAAAATGTAAATTTCCTGTTCACCAAAAAGACTACCTCTTTTAATTTGAAGATAAGAATTTCATACAACGCACATTAAGCTCAGTGTGTATAATTTTCATAGGTGTCTTTGAAATATCGATCGTGTATTTTAAATTCACCGAGTAAGTAATGCCTGAATTAGAAATAAAGTACTAAGTAAGGATGAGAAATCAATTAAACTTTAACTCAAAGTTATAAATAGAAAGATTTCACACAGTGAAGAATATGCAGGTAATTCAATCATCATAGTACAAATACAAATATTACATACTTATACATCTCATTGATAAGCATTTCAATCAATTCATATTATTATGTTTACTGTTCACTAAACTAACTTTATTTATTCATTTCAATAATCATTTTTTTTACTAATTAACTTAAGAATAGTATAATAACTGTACTCAATAGATGTGCATATCACTTACTTACTTACGCCTGTTACTTCCAATGGAGCATAGGCCAACGACCTGAATTCTCCAACCCACTCTGTCCTGAGCCTTCCTTTCCATTTCTATCCAACTTTTGTTCATTTTTCTCATGTCTATCTCCATTTCCCGGCGTAGTGTGTTCTTTGGTCTTCCTCTTCTCCTTTGGCCTTGAAGATTCCATGTGAGGTCTTGTCTTGTGATGCAGTTGGGTGCTTTCCTCAATGTGTGTCCTATCCACTTCCATCACTTCTTCCTGATTTCTCCCTCCGCTAGGATCTGGTTTGTTCTCTCCAACAGCAGGTTGTTTCTGATAGTGACTGGCCAACGGATCCGAAGTATTTTGAGTAGATAACTGGTAATAAACACTTGTATTTTCTTGGTGATGGATTTTGTAGTTCTCCAGGTTTCCGCCCCAAACAGTAAAACTGCCTTGATATTTGTATTGAAAATTCTGACCTTGTTGTTGGTCGACTGTTGTTTCGAGTTCCAGATGTTTGTGTATATCACGTACATTATTAATTGCTTGTATCCTTGTTCATGTATGTATTAAAGAATTTCATTGATTCTTAGTTCTGTAAACATAAAATTCATTCCATAAAACTGTCTATACTATACTAATAAATAAATTTATAAAACATTTTATTAAAAATCTTATTTGAGGACACAATAATATTATGTTGTCTATATGATTTGAATTTGAAATGTTTTCTTTCATGCAGGGGTATTAGCACGATCTAGTAAGTGTTTCCTATCTAGAATTAAAGAGGGATGCTAAATATTGAATATCATGGTATAGAAATGAAATTAGAAATACTAAACTAAGATACATCATTGCACTATATAGTCACTAATGATTGTAATGTACATTCGTTTACAAAATGATGAGTAACTATATGGGACTCCATAGTAGTGCGCACCCACGGTTCCGCACGTGGGGTCCGAACTCAAGACTTTAGGTCTCGCGCGCGAACTGTTAAGCTCTAAACCACTGGGTCTTCATCCACTGATGAGAGGTCCCATACTAGGATGAAACAGCTGTCCAGTGCTTCCAGATTTTCAATGGTGGTCTAACATTTATCAATTCATGATCTCAATCAAAAGCTTAACAATCTTCACAGCCTGACGCTGATAGTAACTATATGTTAAGCAATCTAAATATCTAGTAGTATTTTTTAATTTCTCGTTGGTGAAATTCATGACCATAAGGGACCAGTCTCTGTTAGTTTATGTTTAAGCGTATTTCTGCGATATAGATACTGTGCATGGATCGTAACCAGCAATAGAATTCACAGCGAAGGCTTTATGTATACATTAAAACTTTTCACAAAGACTGTATTAAGACAATTCATCAAAATAAACTGTTTGTTTACAGTTCTAAATTTGAACAACGGGAAATTGCAAACAATTCCTACCCAATCTCTGAACTTTGGGGAAAGTTTCCTAAATTTTGAAGAAGTTTTGCGAAGTTTCATTAGAAATCCTAGGGAAGATACAACCAAAATTTTCTAAATTTCTCTTAAGTTAGCAGACTGGGTAATATTTTAGTGACCCCTGAACAAGTTATAAGTTGTATGGGCTCATTAGTTCAGCAAATAACGGGCTGTTATTTGGAACAATAAGAGTTATGTTTGAAACTCAGAGTGAATATCAACACTAAAATGTAGGTCCATCAAGTTGATGAGTCACAAATAGGACAAACAACTTATCATAGCTTTTACTAGTAGTCACAGTCCAGATACTTTAATTTTAGAGAAAATTAATAATTCCGTTTATTCTTAGGAATTCGCATGATTGGGGAGCTTGACTTTAAAGTCCACTGATAGTGTTTACGCTCCTTGTCTATTAGATTCTTGAACTTAACCGATGACTTGGTTTGACCGACAATCAATATCATTACTTCTATAGGTCCAGAAGATACTTTGCCTATACCACAGTAGCTAATCAAAAGGCTTACTTACATTAATCACTACACCGCAACTAAGAAATAATTTGTCCACAAACAACTCATAAATAATAGGCAAGTAATTCATCAAAAATAATTTAGAAATAATGAAACGTAATCTCAACAATAAATATACTAAATGAAAGCTTATAAATGGGGCAATCTGATAATACTATAATTTAATTGCCTGATAACTATATTAGTAAAACTATAAATCATAATATATCACATAATATTTGCAAAAATTTCTAAATTCCCATTTTAGTCCAACACTAATTATTTTTTTTTGATTGAAATCATGAACTAATTAATGTTCGACCACCATTGAAAACCTGGAAGCACTGGACGACCGTTTCATCCTATTTTGGTACTCCTCAGCAGTGCACATCCACGAGTTTATTTAAAATATTTTAGTGGATTCATAATTTCATTAAGCCATAGATAAAAATATACTTTTTAATGTATTTTCTTTTTCTTTCTATCGTTTTATTTTGTTTTTAAATATTCCTCTTTTGTTTTACCCTAATAGATTATTACGTGAAATAGCAGAATTACAAGAATCAATTGATCAACTTGTCAGTCAATTAACAGATACACAAACAGCACATCAAGATTTATTAAATAATAAAAGTCGTTTAGAAATGGATTTATCTATTAAAGCTAATAGTATATACATTGATCGTGAAAAATGTTTAGGTTTACGTAAAACATTTCCAATGAATCCTGCTTTAATTGCACCAGTTTAATAATGTATGTGATAAATTTTTTCTTTCCTGGTTATTTAGTTTCTTAGGAAAGAAACTACTAGTAACTATTCATTATTATAGACAAGAAGTTCATTTTCTTTTCTTTAATGTTACAGTTTATTTTAATTCTATGTTATTTATAAATAGTTAGAAAAAAATGATATACGATATTCTACTACATCTATTCTAATAATAGTAATGGTAATAGAGAATGATACACCCCAACATTTTATTAACCACCCACTTCATCAATTCTGCACTTTTTTTTTCTTAGTCTTTATTGATTAGTTGATTAGTAGTAACATTGTAAATTATGTCTGTGTATGTATTGTATTACATGAATGTACTCATATATTTGTAAAGGATGATCTATGTTTCCGTTAGTTCTAGGGAATTTGAAGGAAATAATACACTGATTGAAGAATACATTTACAAAGGTATACATACCTACCTACCTACATACATACATACATACATGCGTACATACATACATACATACATGCATTGATCTGTAAAAATGATAAGTAATTGTGTTCAAATATACGTCAATCCTTAAAGTAATTCTTCATTATTATATGTAGTTTTATATAATAAAATTTCAGAAAATTCTCTTCACTTATTTGTTTTACTATTTTTATTACAACAAAACTTTTTTTTCCAAAGACGAAATAGTACTTTTCATTACTTTCGTCTTGAATTTTATTTTAATTCATGTTATTCATATTCACTGTGTTTTTTCTTTTGAATTACTTTTTATTAATCTAATGTTTTATAATTCTGTAATAATCATCGTTATTACTATTATTATTATCAGTAGTTTCAGTAGTATAGTTTGTGTTATATAATTCACTGTTTGTTTGTTTGTTTTCTCTCTTATTTGAATATAATATTACAACACAACACCGGCACAACTGTGATAATTGTACATAACAAACAACATTATTGATCGTGACAGGAATACAAAAAAAATTAAAAAATAAAATCGATTTGATAATATTGATTATTAATTCATTATAATATTGATTTTCCAATGAATTAAACTAATCAGGTTATGAAGTATTGTGTGTGTGTTGTCCATTCTTTACAATTTCTGCTTTTTTATATTGATTTAGCTTGATTAGTAATAATATGTATTGATGTTGGATATTAATGAACTGCTTATATTGTTTTGTTTTTAGTTTTAATTCTTTCATGAATATCCATGTCATGCCGTCGGCCTTGACAACAAAAACTATTATATATATATATATATATATATATATATATATATATATATATATCTTTGTCGATTTGACGAATAATGTCTTTCTTATTATTATTATTATTATCATTATTATTATTGTTATTATTATTACAATTAATAGTACTAGTATTAGTACTTACAATTGTGTGAACTTAATAGTAATTAAATAATTAACAATATATACATATCATTACATTTAATAATGATTATTACAATTAGTTTAATTGTTTTCAATTATAGAAACTAAGACCTTTAACTAATTAATTATTTATTTATTTATAAATAATTAAAATTATATATAATAAAGAAAAATGGTTGTCTAGTTTCGAATGAGTAAAAAGAATGAGATTATATTTGAATATTTTCAATATTTTAGAAAAGTGTTATGTTTAGTAATATTGATCCTTTTGTGTTTATTCAGTAAACGAATATTACATATTACGGTATGATTTTTTTTATCATTTGAAGTATTTAAAGATATATGTCATGAATTTTAAGTCCTAAACCACTGTGAATTAATTCTTCATAGATAATAAAGTATTTATTATCTAACTCATTAATTGGAATCACTTTGGAGAGTTCATTTTGATTCACGTTTTGTAGGTTTTTCTTACGAAGCACTTTATATATACATATACCAATTAACATGGGCCATAGAGGTAGACTATGTTTAGGCATATGCGACGCATAACCCAAAAACTTCAGTCGATGAACAATCACGACTTCATCAACCGATTTACCATCCTAACCTAGTACCAGGTGTTCAACCTCAGTATTGCTTATTCAGTGGCCCAAACATACGTAAGTAATGCTTCAAAAATATCTATGGTGAAATACTAGTAAAGTAGGAATATATATCTCACGTTTTATAGTTGTATGTGATGAAATTTAGGAAATGCCATGCTGTTTTTCTGAATCCGTGCCGAGGTTAATACTAACTCACCAAGGCTGGCGAGACTTTCGAGATATATGAAGGGATCCATGTGCTGAATTGTCTTACTTCCTATCATCATTTTAGGCGTTAAAGCAGCACTTGGCATTTAGAGGGAGTGAATCACATTCCTAACATGTTTATATTGTTGCTCAATTACATTTCGTCAGTGTTTACATATTGTAAGTAGACAAGCTAATTTCATGTCAGTAGGTCAATTCCTCAAACGTAAGTTGACGGAAACGTTATCTCTAAAAGTATATCTATAACAAAGTAAACGAGATTAGAGAAGGTCGACAGCCCTAACGATCACCATTTGATGTCATAAACTCTGATGACAGTTTACAATATGATCTGATTCGACCAACAATCTTCCAGTATAGAGCTTATACAGAATTGATGTGGTTCTTTGGTAAGCCCTTCAGTGATAAACACTGCCTTAAAACCTGTCGATCTACGAAGTCGAAAGCAACCAAAACTATGGTTGATCATCATTAAGTGTATCTATGTTTCAGAACCTGGAGAAGTGTGAATATCTGTTTTCCCTGGTTCACTCTTCAATAGCTCTAGTTAAGCTTTGCTCATTATTAAAGCTAATATTTTAGACATTATGTAAGTCATGTCGATCCCTCTTCAGTTGTCAGGGTTTGCTGTCTTACCGTTCTTTAGATTAACCATGGCTTTCAGAACTTCAGAGTTGAACAGCTTAAATAAGAATCCAACATAGGTTGTGTGATAACAGTACGTAACTAAAGACCAGTTAAACTGTTTTTCAATGTATTGAGTCCATCACTTCAGTGTGTCAGACTGGGAGTAAATTATCAGCACATCCTTCACTGAAATAACATCACTAAGTCTGGAAAGTTATTTATTAATGTCTATTGCCACTAACTTTTCTATCTGTCTTTCCTTCACTGCACACCTTTGCTAAAGATACAGAAAATCTGGATATTTATCGTTTTATGTGTGACATTAATATCCTGAATACTTTTGTAACTGTGCTTAGATTAATAGTAAAATCTGTAATTAACCAATCGAGTTATGACATGTAAACCATCGTTTTTTTATATTGCCTGGTAAATTTTCATTGAACTTTGCTCATATGTAGTCTTTTTGACAGTTTTACTGTTTCTGATGCATTCTTAGGGGCTTCAATTACATCAATATCACTTAACAAAGAAATAATTCCACGGTTAGTGATCTGGAAAAGATGCCGAAATGTACAAGCAGTTAGATGTCATATCCTGGATAGTCATTGAGTTCATGACTGTTGATTTACTAAAACAATTTCACCAATCTCAAGTGTCATATAGGATTTATATAGATAAGTCCGTATATTATGCTAAGAAAACCCATTAATTTCCTTTTACAAATCTAAAGATGAAAACCCCAGTATAGATCTTCTTAGCAGTACGCACCCACGACCACAAAAAGGGACTCTAACCCAGAACCTTCGGTTCCGTGCGCTAAAACTTAACCTCCAAACCACTGAGTCGGCATCCAACAGTGTAAATGTCTAACTTCAATCGATCCATGATCTTGCGCAACGATTATCTGTCGCAGATGCCTGACATGAAATGCTGAAGTCATTTGGGTTAAATGTTAACTTACGAAGCGTAAGCGATAGCTTAAGTAAATGAATTAAGCATACTTATTGTTGATTTGTTTAACCGGTTTGCACTAATAATATTCGTTTACTGAGGCAATCAATGTCTTATTTGTTAACAGAGGATATATACGTCACTGAACATTCTGATATCCAGTTGACGATTTGGAGTTAGTGGTTGGAAAATAATACAATCTTTATCTGCAGTATGGCATTCTTTTTTTAATCGAGCAATATTATTCTTTTTCATCCGAACAAGTTATTAGAAGCAGTTTATCCTAAAGTCATCACAAACACTATTACCGTTAGCAGTATTAGCATCCTAGTACGAAACTACAATAAGTTTGAGTCAATCAGTTAGACCGAAGACAGAAATATGAAGTTGGTCCATTTCATATAACCATAATAAAAAGAAATTTATAAAATGGGAAACAAACAATCCAAGTAACAATAGTTTTATTCATTTTAAAAAGTTACATGGCGAAAACATGGACCAAAAATTACAAATTAGTTTGATATAGAAAAAGTATAAAAATATGCTAAAAAAAACTCATAAAATGGATGAAGAAAAATAATGAATCAACTTTCAATATCATGATTGATGAGATTATACTACGACTGCAGCTATTCTAGGGCTACTGCCCGTCCCAAGTCTGGGTAAAGGAAGACGGTTGAGCGTGGTGTCGGCAACCCCGTACCGTAAAAAATAACCTTGCTAAAAATACACTAATTACATTAAATAATTTAAACCATTTAAACTCGGTCCTACCAATTGAATGAAGAATTATGACGCTTCGTGGTAAAAACCGAGATTCTTCGGAAGTCACGAGATCGATGCTCCGTCTAACAACCAGACCAACAATTAATATAGATACATACAATGTTCAGACAATGTGGAGGACCGGGAAGACCAACCAAATAGCTGCAGACATGAGGAAATACAACATCACGGTGCTCAGATTCAGAGAAACCCATTCGACACTAACTGGACAAAAAGAACTAGATGCGGGAGAGATGTTGCTGCACTCTGGTCACGAACAAGAAAATTCTACACACACTCAGGGAGTTGCTCTGATGCTGTTCAAAGGAGCACGTGAAGCACTTATAGGATGAGAATCTCATGTATCCACGATCATCAAAGCATCCTTCAAAACGAAGAAGGAGGGAATCACGATAAATATTATCCAATGATATGCACCCACCAATGATAGCAACGACGA